AGGGCAAATTAAGGCTGTACGAACCCTGGTCTAAGAGTAATGTCCGTCTTATAGAGAGCCAAATAAAAGGAGTCAAGAAAGGCACGGACAAACTCTAGGTGTCCGTTTTATAGAGGTGTCCCTTAAGAGAGAGTCGACTGTAGACTTCTTGATCCAGATCGTTCCTTCCAACTTAATTTGCGCGAAATTCCCAACATTTCACGCGCCATTGCTAGAAATCCTACTATAAGCTGATTGGTTAGGCGTCTTTTAGCGAGTAAAATGAGTCCGTGAATAGTCTAAAAATCTAACTACGTACGATCCACGCATTATGTGCCCTATAATGCTAAGGGCAGTCGTTATTTAGCATTCGGCTTACCTTTCCGCGTTGTTTATGAATTGCACTTAGCAGACACTAGACTACCAGTCCTTTTGGAATGTCTCGGGTGCCAGCAAATCGAGGGAAAACGTGCTGGTTATTGAAAATCACTGGCCAATTTATGGTTTTCTAACCTGGGCGTCCAGCCCTCTTGATGCTTTTAAAAGTAAACAATGATTTTACAATAACAGAGCGATTTTTCGCGCTTTGATTGGTCGAGAACCATGGTCAATGAGAGTATAGGCCATGGAAATGACTGGATTATGGCGCAATTTGTTTTCCTCTTTCTCTTTTGAGCGATTCTCCCCAATAAACTTCACCGCAAAGGACGTCAAAAACAGTCAACGTTATTGTAAAAAACAAATCGCCTACATTTTTCCATGGCCTATACCCAGGACCATAGAAATGATGTCAAAATGATCAAACCTTTCCAGTGAAACAACTCGACTGCGGCTCGAGGTTTCACTACAAAGTCTGATCAAGTTGACCTCATTTCTATGGTCGATACAAGTGTCGACCATGGAAGATTGTAGTCGACTTGCTGATTAGTTATCGAGGTTGGCTAAATCATAAATGGCTTTGAAGGCAGTTCAGATAAACCGCGCCTACACTCTGTTTTCAGAAAACCGACTCATTGAGTTTGGCTGCTCGACTGAAAAGGATCGCAAGCGGTTTAGATATAGATGACAACATGGTAATTTGACCAAAATTAAAAGACAAGAAATGATTGTAGTTTAAATACTGTTTTAAATTCAACTACGCAAAAACTATTCACTTCACTCATCTGGCTTCATTTTCATAAAGGCTTCCGTTCTTCTCCTCTACAACCTCTGAAACGTAACATACATAGATTGAAGTAAGCAACTTTTCATATCAAATCTTAAAGGTGCAAAAAAAGGTTGACCTGCACCGTTCAAAACCTCTTATTTCATTGGTCCCCTTTAATCTGCACTTCCATAGTTTGCAGGGATTGGGGCATTGTTATGTCACAATCCCTATTGTTTTCCCAGCTAATCACAAACTTCACCAATCGTCACTTTAGAAACAAGAGGGAAACTAAGTCGAGTTAACTTTTGCAAAGACTTCTGGGACTGTTCCTAAGGGCAGGGAAAAATTGACCAATAGCTGACCGGCGCGTCCCCACTTAGTAACGATCCCAGACACACTTGCGGGACACATTTCAGCTCCAGTCCCCTTCTCGTTGTTAAATTGACGACTACAACTTGCAGCAAGTTTTAACAATCGAGTCTGTGAACGAAATCCTGTAGTGTGACCTTTTAAATGAAAGCTACAGATTTGGCTTGCGAGTAGGCTCTCTTGGGGAGGGGGGACGGGCAAGAGGACGAAAGCAACTATCTTGTGAATGACAAAATTACAGCTTGGTGTCAAACAAATATACCTCTCAAGCATTACTTCAAACGTTACAGAAGACAAAAATAAACTTTGAAAAACAACTGGGCCAACAAGTTTTCTAAAACCACAATTGCAATCCGTTTTAGATGTAATCTTCCTCAAGTTTGTCCTTTTGACTGTATTTGCTGTGTTATCTATGGCTTCTATTAACGTTTTACGTTCACTCAACTTGGTGGCAGTTCCCGCTGCGTTAATTTTCATAAATTTCGTGACACAGCTCCTTTTTAAATACATTAGACTGCATTAATTTGTATCGGATCGCACCACACACCTTTCTCAGCCGCAGCTTTTTGTTTCATAAGAATCCGTTTCAGCTCTGAAGTCGCCTCATCTTTGGGTTTTCCATCCAGAATATCTCCAGCAGAGTGACTCCGCGGTTTCCTCAGGACAACCTTTGTTAGTTCATTGTTATTTTCCCCAGATTCTTCGACGTTAGATGCTGCCTTTGCCGTTTCGTTTGAACTGCGCTTACGCAGTTTGATGTTAGCCCATTCCACGTCCGGTTCATCTGTTGCTGAAGGCGATGTTACTCCTCCAAAATCAACACTTGGATTCCTCTTAAGTGTTTTCTGCAATATCAAAGGAAAACAGGATTAGCTAAGTCAGTAGAGCGCTTGACTGGCTTGAGAACTTTGTAAGGAAAAAAAACCGAAATATTTTGGCCATTTGCAAAGGGGTGAGCGATAAGGAAAGATGAAGGATAAATAGGAAAAGAGAAAGAGGTGAAAAAGAAATATGGAAGGCTTTTAAGCCTGCTTTTCATAAAATCTGTGAAGGTCTGCCAAACGATCAGACGGTGGACTG